TAGTAGTACTAGTAGTACTAATAGTACTAGTAGTAGTTGCATTAGTAATCGTAGCAGCAGCAGTACGAGTATCGGTCACAAGTCTAGGAACTGTGTTCTGCGAACTGGGTTTTGAGTCTAGTCTAGGCCTCTCTTCGTCTGCTATGAGGCCAAACTTTACCTAGATCGGTCACTGATGTTCGGCCCACATTTGGTCTCATATCAGTTACCCTATGTAATCTAAACTCCTCTGGCGCCCCGCAGAGTATGTTAACTATCACCCCACTTGTTAAAACAAGTCCTGCATTAAGAGTCACTCGATCTGTCAGCACATGCTTGCACGAAGGGACATTTAAAGTACTTCGATCTCTTGATGCTGGAGTGTCTCCTCCCTCAAACAGTGGTACATATCCCCGTTTCACATCGACCTGAACGCAGCAAAAGAGCTGGGACTTTGCAGTAGATACTGTGGCCGAGTATGGGCCTTCAAAGCCTGGGGCATCAATGCTAAAGTAAGTCCAATGCGATGGGCAGCAAAATCCGATAGACCCTACCCATCCTTTTTGGTTGCTGGTGCAACAACGCTACACATTGCCAAATTTGGAGACCTGCCCATCTGCAACCGGCATTCCCAGCTAGCGTGCCTTTGTCGCCTGCACCGAGGACTCAACCTCCCCGACCGGCAAGTCTGTTGATCTACAGGCTCATGGAAGCTCTATGCGTCGAAGCCACCTGCACGGAGCTCCTCACTAAGCCGGTAGCCACACCTGGCACCAGATGGCAGCAGAAACTCCGCCTTGCCATCAAGTCAGCATGGACGGCCGGCCTGCCAGGCCCACGAAAGCCTGAAGGTAGCGGTGGGCGCGCATGGGGACCCTGAGCCAAGCACCGAGGTAATGCAGAGGCAGAAGCCGCAGCAATGCACTGCAACCGAGAAGCAAACTACAATAGGTTCGATCTCAGTAAGGGTAGAACGCAGATGCTGGAGCCAAGCGCAGGACGACGATAATGCAACAGTCAGTTCATGCAGGAGGAGCTGCCAGACTCTTCGATGCTTGTCCACGAACGGTTTCTAGGTAATCCCATGCAGGTCCTGGAGGGCAAGTGAAGCAGGAAGTCTGTGGGCGGGCAATGCAAACAGAAATCTTCGACCTGAAGCATTGAAGCCGATCCGTTGCAGCTCCTGCGGACCATCAAGCTGAGGCCTGCGCCTCGGGCCACACTGTCCTGGCTCCTTGCACGCCTGGTTGCCCGAGTCGCCAATGTCAATCCTCGTAGAAGATGCGTGTGGCCGCGTCGATCTGACCTGCTTGCTTTCCCGCGCGGTCTGCCCATGCCGCTCATGCAGTCACAGGCCCCAAAACATGTTCAGAGACAGACACATGCAGGAAGTAGGGAGGCATTGATTGGGAACACCCCCGTCCCGGTCCCCAGCCATTCTGCACACGTTTTGGGCGTTCGCCTGTTGTCTCACCGTCCAGGCCTCACTTCGACCATCGCGAAGTGTCTGAAACCATCAAGCAAGGCACTGCATCTCTGAATGAGGGTGCGGCGCTCCATTCGGAGGATGCCACGATCCTGAGAAGTTCTGACACCGCCCCACTGCCCTGGCACGTGCCTAAACAAGCAAGAGCTGACAACGCTTGCAACATCCTTTATGCAAGCCTTTGCACGCGAGCTGTACACGTCTGAAGGTGCAACGCTCTTCCCATGCCAGGCCACGCACAGCGAGGAGAGGCGGCCGAAGGACTCTGCAGAATCCTAGCATGTCCAGAGCATTCCCAATGTGCTCGTGCCCCGGACAAGGAGTTTCAAATAGTCTCGGAGTCTCAGGAAGCTGACGGACTTGCCTGGGCTGCCATCCTGGCTGTCAAGAAGGCCGTACTGGGCAGCTTCTCCGGCCTCGGCGCAGCAGTGCACAACAGTCGTTGGTGGTCGTACCGGTGCAAAGCCGCGAGCAAAGCGAGGCTTTCGGGGTATGCCGCGAGCTTCGCCAAGACTTCGTCGGCCGATAAGACATGACAAGACCTGTACGGCACAACCTACAGTCCGACAGTACACCGGCAGTGCAGGAAGCACGAACCCATCGCTTTGCAGATGAGAGGCTTCAGTATCCTCACCAGCGCCGCATCAATGATAGGTGCTCTGGCATCTCGAGAAGGACTTGAGGGTTCCTGCACAGCTCGACGCGTTCTGGCGTAGGGTCTGCGCATCTGATCTCGGCCCGCCTGTCTGTGATTTTCCGTGCAAAAGGCTGGCACTTCGGTGAGGTCCAGCTCCGAGCGGCCACAGCTTGGCCGCACACGCAGCCTCTCGGAGCCGTCGAGCTCCACTGGACCCTCTGGTGCTGAAAGCTGCGCCAGCGCCAGGCGCCAAGCCTTCAGCTTGAGGTCCTGACACAATTTGACAATGGAGTCAATGGTCGAACCACTCCGTAGATGTAGCGAGCATAGCAAGTACTTATTCTCCAAGGTCATGACACAATTGGTGACACTTGCACACAATGCAAGATGCGCTTGAGTGGTGGACAAGGCCTCATCATCTTCGCTGCCGGCCTGAGACCAGTTGAGCGCTGCCTCCTCGAAGTCTTTGCGGGAGAAGCCCTCACCCTGACCCAGTGCCAGCAGGATGTGCGCTTGCAGCTCCGTGGTTGTGAGCAAGGTTTGTCCTCGCGCATGGCTCCACAGCACTTTCGCTGCACCCCAGGTTTGCCACCTGAGCTTCCTGCTAGGATACCTCGACAGGTAACTCTCCGCCCAGCGAGAGCGTGCCTCCACAATCGGTAGGGACGCAGAGAACAATTTCGGTGGAGATGCCGACAGCGAGAGCATTGAAATGGAGTTGAAGTTGAGGCTGGATGCAGCCGCCATGTTGAGCGTCGTGGCCTTAAAGACTTCCCCGCTGTCGTTCGAAGGGCTTTCTCGCAGGATCTCTGCGACATGTCGTAGGAGAGAATGTCCATGGCCACATTCATTTCGAAAAAAATCCAGAAGGCGGTGCTCCAAATGGATCTCCTCACCCAGCGCAAGAAACTGCCGACTGTGACACCCCGACAGCATCTCTCTGAGCTCCCAACCTCGGAATCCTGGACTCGGAACCCCCAGACGGCACGAAGAGACATGAGGCGCGCTTGCCACAGAAGTGGAGCACCTCCTGTCGCAGAGAAACCGAGACAACTTAGAGTCCAGAGCTGAGCAGCTTCTGGGCTTGATCATTTTCTCGTTTTGGCTAGAACAAGTGCTCGGATGTGCTCGCTCTTCCCTTCCTAGAATCGGCCACAGCGAAGACGGTGAGGCGGCCTGCATCTGGTAGGAGCCGGAAGAGGAGCAGAAGAGGCCCGATCTTTCCGGGCCATATGCCACCTGGCAGGAGTCAGCCAGGGCGCTTTGGCACGGGCTTTTTTCTAGGACAGGTCGCACCATGTCGCACCTGCAGCCGTACACCCCTTGACTTCGCCATGCAAAGCCCTGGCAATCGACTCAGCGAGGTGGGCTTTGTCGTTCCGTGAGGTGCCCGCGGCCGCGGGCAGCGGCAGGGCCGGGCTCAGGTCTCTGATGTCCAGGGCGCTTACTGGCGAGTCGATTCCAAGCACTTTCCAAGGAGGCGCCGAAGGCGGCGGATGTTCCTTGCACTCGCTCAGTGCAGGGGCGAAAGACACGGCCATTGCAGCCGCCAGAGACCCTGGCGAAATTTCTGGCAAAAGCACCTGGCATACCTCGTGTATAGCATGCAGGAGGGACGTTAACCATGACACTGGCTCCATTTGGAGCCAAGCGGCACCGCACAAGAGTGCGCTGGCATTAACAAGGGCATCTCGCATGTGCGCTAGGGCTTGGCTGTCTTTGCAGACCTCCAGCGCCTTGCGGAGACGTTGCAAGACAATGAGATCCAGCTGCTTGGTAGGTGAAATCAAGAATGCAAGAATCCAGGGTAGCAATGGAAGGCTGTGATTCAGCCACGTGGTAGCACAAGAAGTCGCCAGGCTGGCATAGCCCGGTAAGCAACTGTCAATAGCTAATTCGATATCCACACAGCGTGCAAATCTGGACACCCAGACCTCAGCCGGAGCTCCATTGGCCAAGCCCTGCAAGGTCTCCTGACAACTTCTGGCGTGCGCCTGGACAGAATCCTGCTGAAAGCCCTTTACCAACCTTGCAAAGTTGGAGTGCCACGATCGCTCGAGTAAGCGCCAGGTCAGGAGATGCTGCTCCATGGAGCAGGCGTGCGGATCAGAACGAAAACGTGCCAGCCGAGACAAGTGCGTGTCCACCACAGTTTCCAAAACGTCGTGACGAGCCGACAGAATCTGCACTGCAGCCGCTCGAAGGGCTTCACACAAGACCTCACCGCCCCAATCTTCCAAGGCAGTGAGGTCTGCCAACATCACCGTCGCGGAATCAAAGGCCCGCCAGGCATCTGGAAGCGCTGCTGCTTCTGCCTGGAACGCAAGCTTTGCAAAAGGCTTCCCTTCCCCATTGCGAGGATCCTAGCCCCTGCGGCTGGCGGGTCTACAGAGTCTATGGTGCACAGTTGCCGGACCTCTCGGAGGCGCAGAAACAGCGGCCGGATCGCGACAGCAACGGCACTCCGTTCCTGTCGAAGGGATGATACCTGTTGTGCTGGCACTCCGACCACATCCGACCACAGAAGGCGTCATTTAGACCCTCAAAAGAGATTCTTGTGACTCTGCACCAACTGCATGCCAGGGTTGCCACATTGTCGAACGGTATGAGGTGCAGCTCACCACCTGGGATTTGGTCCAACCCCGTAACACTATGCCTTCTGTAGAACCAGGTAAGTTGCACACGAAAGATCTCAGTGAGACAGCCAGCCAGCGAACGCCGCTCGGCGACCATGGGGACCATAAGGAGGGCATCCCACTTAACCCTGAGATACCGAACCGGAACACCTAAAATGCTGTGCGTCACGGTCTCAGGCCAAGCCAACCAATACCCAACAGACCGTCTCACAGCTTTGCACCGCTCTGGGCCAGATTCGTAGCTCCGGATGACCGTGTCTCATCAACGATGTTGCAACAGTGACAGGACGACATCTATCTGACACTATCTTTTTCGCTGGCCGTGCTGTTCGCAAACGTCTCGGAGGGCAGGTCCTGCATGCAGCTGGAAGTGATGAGCGGCACAGTATAAATGAGTGGCAGAATGGCAGAAATAGCATGCTCAGCTTCAGCGACAATCTCGACCAAGTGCGAGGGCCAGGGCGGCTTACTGTATCTGGCAATACAGTGACTGTGTCGCGATTACTGTGATTTCAGCACACGTCCGACATGGTCGTGTCAAGACGAAACAATCTACGAAAGAGTTGGCTTCAGGACACGCCACGGCCAACACCACAGACGACGGATGCACCTGTTGCTGGTGTGACAGACGGACAGGGGCCGTGGCCCGGAAGCCAGAGTTTCTGAGCTCTGCCAAACATGTGAAGATGTGTGAGTCTTTGCCGAGATCTCGCGGAAGCATGTGCTCTCGTCGGGCCTCGTCCAGGTCCTGGCCTTGGCAATGGCAATACAACCCAGCACATGCCAGCATCCAAGACGTTTTCAAGAGTATGACTGCCAGCAAGGATGGATTCCAGGATGCTGTCGATCTGAGCCTTGAGAAGGCTTTGCAGTGCTTCGGCAAGTCGAACCCATAGCCACAGCGGAAATCCAAGACTCCAGGCCCTCTCGCGGGGCAGACCCTGCGACCTGAGGCAGGTCTCTTAGATGTCGAGCCCTGCAAATCTCTACGGATCTCAGCAATGGACTTTGGGGTCTCCGTCCCCGTCCCGGTCCCCTCGAGCATTTCTGCGAGAGGGGCCACCGCGGGCCTCGGTGACACGCGCTTGCTTCGAGAGCCACGAGGCCCGCTTTGAGCTAAGCCCCGAGCTTCCGATTCGACTTGCTGGACTGGTAGCGGGCGTCTCGCAGTGCCTTCGGAGGTGGGTTTCACAGGGTAAAGACTGCGATGCGATGCCAAGATGACCTGACCGTGCCCCATCTCAACGATGATGGCTTCAAGAGCCGCAACCCGGTCCTGCCATGACAGCTGTGGCTGGAAACAACTAAATGCCGCAAGCCTACACGTTTGGGGGGAGATAGGATTCGGGTCTCCAGCTGACAGATCACCATGTCACGAGACGCTCTAACAATCACCGCATGTCTCCGGCTCCTGCAGTTGGCTGAACTCCTCCTCTCGCACCACACCGGGCCTTATTGTGAAAGATGCACCAACACCATCACAAGATCTCCTGTTTTCATGAGATAGATGCCTGGCTGTGGGAGCCAGCGGGCCCACTGCAGCTAAGGTTTCAGGGTCGTACCTATTTTGCACTGGCCAGGTTGATGCATGCGGCTTCGGGTACCACGAAAACAGGCTTCCCGGGGTCAAGCGAGGGAAGCAGAACCGAAATGTGGGGAAGTGCACTTCATGTTCTTCAAGTCCTTGAGTCTGCGGATCGACAAGCTGAGCCTCTCGAGCACTTACGCAATGCACCTCTGCGACCTGAAGTCTGCCGAGCCCCAAAGGGTGTCCTGTCAAGTCGATCTCCAGGTCTCTCGATGACCAGTGCCTGGCGAGTCGCAAGTCCGGGATCCTGAGACCGGCTCCGGGATCCTCGCCTCGACCCGTTGGCCAGGCTGGATGTAGTCCTCGATGTTGTCCACGAAGACGTCGCTGAGCTGGCCGATTGCAGCCAAGGCGAAGTGGCCGCTGCAGGCGCGGAACTCTTAAATGCCCCTCACCGCATCGCGGCCTCGGAGATGTGGATGAGACCCGACCTCACTTCAACAAGGTCTCCCAAACAAGACTGCGACTCCTTACCTAATTGAGCGACGCACCAGCCGGTCCGTTCCAGTTCAACGAAGGCTCCCCACTCGACAAGAGAGGTGACGATACCCTTGGCAAAAGAGACACACGACAGGATCTTATTCACGGCCTCCTCTGAGCCTCATGTCGAAGTCAGTTAGAGCCCCTGGCAGTAACGATTTCGCCTGGCTTCGGCATCTCTGCCTGAAAGATTTCCTCGCTGTTTCAAGGACAAACAAACACTTGCAAAGAGAATTTCGGAGCAGAAACTCGAGTCAGAAGGTTACGGACGGACTCTACGCACCATGCCAATCATTACCACCAGCCTGCACAGAATCAAAAATGCATCCAACTCCCGGTCGCCTGAACAGAACCGCTGCATGTCATGGCATGTCCCTTTGTCTCCCGACCGATCTGGCTCCTTTCACACCCTGTTTGTTGCTTGAAAGCTTTCGGGGCTCTGTGGTCCTCCAGAGTGTGGATGTCCAGCGTATCCGACTTCATGGCCTGGTCACAGACTTCTGGTGCTCTGTAGCCAGGTACCAGTAGGCCAAGCTGTAACCTCTCTCAAAGTGGCCTGCAAGAACTTATCTTCTGGGCTCTTGAGTTGCTGCCTGAGAACACCATGAAATGAGTTAGAAGAGTTCAGCTCCTCAGATCTGACGCTGACTTAGGCTGCGCGCCGTGCACTCTGCAAAGGCTGCATTTGAGCCTTTCTCGATTCCTCGCGGTCAGTCTCTTGGGCCTGGAAATCAGGGCGAGCAGAACCAGAAAAAGAACAAGCAGCAGCAAGCATCGGTCCTGCTGGACTGTCAATCGGCGCACCAGATCTGCCTCTCAGCAGCGCACCGTCCAGGACTCAACCACACTCCAGAACATTTAAAGACTCTCGCTGCGCCTTGGTCCCGGTGGAGGTCAGACCCCTCAAAGTGAGTTTGCAGGATCTTCGCTACGGGCCACATTGGGCCTGAGGCATCCGAGGCCCTCTTGCCTCTCTTCACAGAGACCACGCAAGTCAAACACGGAAAAGACATTCAGCTCCTGCTGCGCCTGTCATGGGGCGAGATGCTGACAAAAGCACATCAGGACAATCTATGCACTGCCTGGCCTGCGTGTATCCCACCTCATTCTGGGAGGTGTCTTCTGCGGCAGTTTCTCCTGGCCTATCGGATGCCTTAACCAGCGTCTTTTGCAGCAACTGTACGCACAAGTTGCATCAGAAATTCACGTCATCCCAAACTCGCGCGGTTGTAAGAAGCATTCCAGGTGGCGGGCAGTCGAATGGTGCTGCAAACCTGCTGTAACCTGGCAGACGGTGCAGATTCGAACAGCGTGGAACTGAACCTCCCCAACCTGGATAAGCCGATGCACCAGCTCTTCTTTCTTACCCGAAACTTTCAAGCACCTTGGCTGCTGTGGACTAAGACAAGCCTAAAGTCTAAAAATACTAAACCGGAATTCAGCGTCAACAAAGTGACACGTTTAAGTGGCGGCACCTCTGCTTGCACAGAGCTTTCAGATCCTTGACTGTCATGCTCGACAACCACTCCTGCCATCGGCAATGAATTCTGCGCGGATTCTATTGCCTGAATGGAACGGCTCGTCCGACACACACTAGCTGCTACGGGCCTCTGTGTACCTCGGGGCGTCCTGCACCACGGGGCAATTCAACAAGAGCAGGCCTTCCTACAGACAAAAGACCGCCACACAAAGAAATTCGCCTGTTCCAGCTTTGCGCTTAAGCTCAAATGCTTCCTTGAGCGCATCTGCCTGCATCGAGGCAACATCTAGAATCTAGAATCGAACACTTACCGCGTTTCGACGATGCAAATGGTTCGGTGCTTAGACGGCCTCATGTCAACCGCAGACTCAGGACGTGGTCGAGTCGTCAAGATTGCGTTCGAAGGTAAAACAGAAGCAAAGCCACGAAACCACTGACTCAGGAAAGCGGAATCGCTAGCAGCTAGGGCTTTCAGCTCGAACGGCCTTCGGAAGCAAGCTAGACTCGTGCCTTCCTGCTGCCATCCAATGTATGCACATCAATTGTGGTAGATGCGTCTTGGGCATGTACGGCAATGTCATTGAATTGCTCCTCTGTTCGTTATGTCTCGACTGGCCCAAGCCCGATTCCGCACGAACCGAAGCCTCATCCACCAAAACAGTGGAGCAAGTGCACCTGCATTTCTTGGAAGAAGGAAGCCCTTCTCTGTTTAAGCATCAGGTACAGGTCGAGTCTTCACTTCAAACTATTTTTCCGAGGTGTGGACCAGTCGGCACTGAAATGTGCAAAGATACTGACACAGGCTTCTGCAACCCTCACAGTCATGTCTGCGCCGGCATCTCAACCAGACCAACGCAGTGGCAAGGCCTGAACAGATTCGCTTCGGATGATTCACCTTGGTACACGCTCGGAACGTCGCGTTGTTCAACATAGCCGCTTCTGCGGAAGTCAATGTTCCAATGCAACTTCGTGGCACGAGTCGGGCTTTTCCCGACGTTCCTAAAGGCTTGAAGATGACAACTACGATGGCATGTGACAACATCCCAAAGTCCTTCAACCATGCTGGCCTCGATGGACTCCATGTCCGTTGCAGTTCGTGTTGAGGCCACCAATATTGTGCCTGCTATCAGAAACTTCCAAGACAACACGACGCAGACGGCGAATAACTTGAGGCACGCCTGCATATCAGCAACTGTAACGACCTACTCCATGATTCGCCCCATAGTCGTCGCAAAATGATGCAAGACGGCTTTGGAGATGTGAATATGACCTCAACAGTCGAGTGCTAAGAGTGGCAGGTGCACACCTTGTCCACATTCTCTATGCTTTGTCTTGGGGTTCGCTGGAACCGAAGGCCGGCCACCACGAAATATCGTGCACCACCTTTGGCGCGGCGCTTCATTGAAAAACCCCATGCTTGCCGCTGTTGAGCAAATCCACCTAGATGGCTGGGGATATAAAAAAATACGATGTGTGGAATTGGACCCACTGGCGAACGAAGCGCGGCTGATTCGTTTTACCGAAAGCTTCTTTGAGTGTAATCAACTTGCACGGGAAGACGTTGATTTCCCGCTCCAGACTTTAGACTTCATGCTGTAGATGTGTTTTCGACCAATTCGAGTCGACTGAAGACACTGCCTTTCTCGAGCTCGAACATTCAGGTGTTTTTTATGCTTCGTCTGTAGTGCCGCGTTCCTACTGTGACGGCTTGCGTTGAACGACTTCGAAGAGGCGAACTGTGCTTAGAGGGTTCGACTCAAAAGCAAAAAAGATTTGACGCTTCGAACATTCCAACGAACGCTGAAACCTCAAAACCTTCAGTACCGTCGAAACGTGACGTGTGAGTGCCTCTAATGGAGCCGGCAATTGCCAAGCACTCCCCTGCTTGATCGAATGTCGACGGTCGCACTCCTTCTCGCTCTCACTTTCCCCTAGCTCCCGTCCGTTCTCTTTCTCTCTGTTTGTCTCTCTCTCTCTCTCTCTCTGTCTCTCTTGCACGCCTCAAAACCTTTACCACAGAACCGTGAAAGCTTCCAGGTTTGGGCAACCAACTCTTCGAAAACAACTGCTAAGATATGAAAACATCATTGATCGAATTTGCTTTTACACTGGAAGCCCACTTCACAAGGACACTGCATGAACAACCAACAAGATTGATTTTGTTCACAAACATCGGAGATGAAAATTGGCAGGGATTGCCGGATAGACAGATGAAAACATCCACAAAATTTTAGAGTCCTATCCAACTCTTCCGAGGAGCAAACAATCAAAACATACTTGCATGTGCAAAAAGAAACGTATGGCCTTTGAGATTGAGCATTGTGGCTCCTGGACTCGAGCATGTCGGTTTGCAAGCTTTGGCTGCTGGCCAAGCCAGTGGGTATTTGGCACTTCCGTGACCGCGCGTCTGGGTGCCAACGCTCTAGGAATGGTATGCCTTGGCCGAGAAGAGCAAGCCGGGCTATAATTTCTGTGTCCTCGTTTTTTTACAGGTGTTGGCCTCAGGTTTTGTGCCGGTGACTTTTGAAGCTTTGATTGCACCTGTGCGCTTCAGCCTCCTATCCCTGGGCCTCCTCTTGAAGAAAGGTTGGTGGGTCGATTTCAGTTTAGCTCAGGTCTTTGGTCCCAAGAACAAAGGGAAGTCCAGGAGTGAGCTGCATGTGGATAAGTTTCAGAACTGTTTCTGGTTGACCGCGAGCCGCTTTGTGCCCGAGACCTCGCGTCCTTCGCTTTCTGGTGCTTCTGTATCCCTTGTGCAAGATGTCTCTCTCCAGCTCGGAAGAGGAGGTGGTTCAGGACTGGCGCCGCCCGGAGTTGGCAGCGACGGTGGTCGTGGAAGAGGACGAGGACCTCAGGGTCCAGGCTTGTCGCGTCAGGGGCCAGGGTTGTCGAATCAGGGTCCAAGGTTGTCGCGGCAGGGTCCAGCAGCATCAGGGACAGAGCGGGTCGCGTTGAAGCCGAGGGTCGATCTAGTTCCGGTGTTGGCGAGCCTAGCAGCGGATTACATGTCGACGGTGTCAGAGGGAACCTCTATAGACTTTATTGAGGAAGTGGAGGTGATCACCAGGGCGCCGACGCCATCGGGGAGCGTTGCAAGGGTCGCGGTGCCGAGCGAGAAGAAGAAGACCGAGCCCAAGATAAAGCGGATGCCAAAGGCGCCGGCCGTGAAGGCGATGCCTCGTGTGAGGGCATTCCTCAAGCCCCGCATGGGCGCCATGGTGAAGAACAAGCCGCTGGGCAAGAACTGGAGGCCTTACCCCAGAAATCGGGGAAGGAAGGGCCGGAGCTCAGGACAGTGGCGCAGCATGGTGCGGCGCACGAGAAGGTTGTGAAGTACGCCAAACCTTTTGCCGAGTTCCTGGAGGCGAAGGGGTCCAGAAAGGAGTTTCAGGCCGTTTTTCCCAGAGGCCGAGACAAGGAGCTTGGTGATGTTGGTGAACCGGTCCAGCTACGAGAGCGAGTCTCAGATGGGCAAGGGTTCGCGGCTGAATCTGCCGCCGCCTCCTCCACCACCGCCGTCGGCACCACAGTGGTTCAAAGTTGGGTCGGGGAACAGCCGGGAACGAGCTCAGCAACTCCGGGAACCAGCTCGACGCCGGGAACCAGCTCAACGGTGCCGGGAACAAGCTCAATGCCACCAGCGACGCCGCCCAACCGGCCGCCAATTCAGGCAACAACTCCATCAGGAGTGCCTCTCCCTCCGGGTGTCACATGGAACGACCTGTGATGGCTATTTTGAGGGACGAGCATCTTCCGAAGATCTTCATCGGAGCTGTGCATGAGAAAGCGGGTGCCGCTAGGGTTCCAAGGGTTCAGTTGCAGAGGGTTCCGAGGGTTCAGTTGCACAGGGTTCCAAGGGTTCAGTTGCACAGGGTTCCGAGGGTTCAGTTGCACAGGGTTCCGAGGTTCAGCTGCACAGGGCTCCGAGGGTCCAGTTGCGCAGGGTTCCGAGGGTTCAGTTGCGCAGGGTTCCGAGGGTCCAGACGTGGAAGGTGCAGTAGCACGATTGTTGCCGGAGACCAGGGGTATCTGTCGTCAAGTGATTTTTCTCAGCTGCAGAATGAACACATCCTTCGGCCCCACATCCCCTATAACTCAAGCTGTGAGGAGTGTCAGCGTGGTCGTGGCGTTTTTCCGCAGCGGAAGTTGAAGGAGGAGCAGAAGGGTCGCAGAGAGATACAGGCAGATAAGTTTTGGTTTCGAGGTGTGGCCATGCTTGTGCTTGTTGCAGTTGGTGTTGGCATGTTGGGGTCGAGCGCTTGGCCCGCTTGGCAGCCAGACAGGGAGAGCATGATGACGTCCTTCGTTCGGTGGTCGCGTTCCGCAGGGCTTGCAGGGTCAGGGGAAGTGATCATCACGATGCGTTCAGATGGGGAGCCTGCCTTGGTATGCATTGCTCGAGCAGGTGCCTGTTGACCGTCATGCGCCCAACGCCGAGAGGGCGATCAGGACGCTGAAGGAGTTGGCTCAGGTGCAGCTGTGTTCGCTTGAGAAAGTAGGGTTGACTATCGCGTCCGGAGGGGTTCCTTATCTATTTCCCCATTTGAGTGTAGCCCACAACCGCTATCATCTAGATGAGGGTTCCTCTTTGACTCCGGAGCAGCGTTGTCGCCAGAAGCGGTTGCCCGCGCACCCGACGTATATCTTTGGAGCTTCTGTGTTGCGCCTGCCGCCTCCATCTGTTGCCCATCTTGTGAATGGCCGCCTCTGCAAGGGGTCTTACATGGGGCCAGAAGTTGCGTCAGGGAGCCATTGGGTCAGGGTCCAGTTGAACAACGGAGAGCGCAGGGTGGTGAGATCACCCAAAGTTCGGATGATAGTGCCTTTGAGGTATGAGGTTGGCCTGTTGCGAGGGGTTTGTCGTCTTCTTCCAGGGAGAGAACCGCCTGCTGAGGCACCACCAGTGGACCCGGACAGCTTGGCAGCTCTGCCGTTGCCCAACACGAACACCAAAGGACCTCCAAAGACTTGGGTTGAAGAACATGGCAGGACACCGCGCTGCCGCACATGTAAGATTAAGGGTTTTGACATGGACAAGGCCCTCCACACACCCGCCTGTAGGGCTGGATACGCTAGGTACCTCAGGGAAAACTTTGATCCCACTGGTGCGCTTGAAAGGGACAGGGAGATAGATGCCGAGTTAGGGTTTGATGCTCCGGTCCCGGACCTGGGGGATTTAGGGTTTGAGGGTGACCTGGACAAGTTCGTTGAGTTGCCTGGTGACGTTATGAGGGTTGATGATGATGGTGATGATTCACTGTATGAGCCCTCCATCCCGGATGACGATGACAACAGGGAATTACCTGAGCAGCCACCGGGGGAAATCAGCAACGAGGAGCTGCAAGATCTCATGGAAGTTGACGCAGAGCCGCTCGACAGGGTCCCAGAGGGGGTCGCCAGCGCCTTTGTAAGTCGTTTTGAGCGTCAGGAGGCGATAGGAAACATCGCTTCGGCAGCCCAAGTTGCTGGGAATCCCGATGGAGATGGCGAGATCATTGTTGAGCTCGGGGCTGGACTTGTGAAAGCCCAAAGGCCCTGCGCATCCAGGGACGATGTTACCGAGGTAGAGCTTGATTTGGGGTTGACCTATGAGGGCATGGTGAAAGAACTTAAGGCTCTGGAGAGCCTCGCGGTAGGGACCGGGGACATGATGTGGCATGTCGATCCGAAGCAGCGTGTCATCAGCACTCGGTGGGTGGTTGCTGCTAAGACCGAGCGAGTCGAAGGTAAAGAGACCCCACTCGTTCGTTGTCGGATTGCTGCCCGGGACTACTCTACTGGTCCTTCTGCGGCACAGTTGGGGATCAGCTCTCCGACAGCCTCCGCCGAGGCACTGAAGTTGTTTCTCGCTGTGACCGGGGCCAAGGGTTTGAATATCCTAGGGCTCGATGTGTCCACTGCGTTTCTTTTCGCACATCTCATGGGAGAACAAGTTGTTGTGAGCATGCCAGAGGGTTGTAGGGGTCCATCCGGGGAAAAGCTTTTCTTAAAAACTGAACAAGGCCCTCTACAGGCTGCGTTCCGCCGCCCTGCACTGGACACGACATCTGGCCGGTCTGCTCAAGAACTCTTTGGGATGACTGCGTGTCCTACGGAACCGTGTTTGTTCGTTGGGTCCTACAAGGGCAAACCAATCTATATACTCACTTACGTCGATGATTTGCTGCTGCTAGCAGGGGTGAGCACTGAAGATCTTTATGAAATGGTGGAGTCCTTGCGCAAGGAGCCGAAACTCAAGGTCACGGCTGACCTCGCAAAGGATGGTAAGATCCACTTTCTAGGAAGAGAGATTTTTCGGTCAGAACAGGGCGGGGACCTCAAGTTTGGAATGGATCCCGGATATATGAAAGATGTTCTGGAAGAGTACAAGCTTGAGAACTCCAAGGGTGTCCCCACACCGCCTTGTTTGAGGGATTTGCTTGATAAGGCTCTGGATGAGCCGGGGCTGAGGGTTCCTCTCACCGCCGAGGCCGCGGCTAGATATCGACGAGCTTTGGGAAAGCTCAGCTGGCTCAGCACCACACGTGGGGACCTGGTCTACTACGTTTCGGTTCTGGCTCGGGGCCAGAGCTCGCCTCAGGAGGTGCATGAACGAGCTATGCGAGCGGTACTTAGATACCTCAAGACCTTGATAAACTACTTTCAGCTTTTCCCGCGCCAAGAAGAAAAAGAGCTCAAGCTCCACTCCTATGTGGACGCCTCGTGGGGTAGTGAGCGCTCCGTCGACCGGAGGTCGATTTCGGGCGGCTGCCTTATATTGGGGAAGGCCTGTATCAAGACGTGGGCGAGGCTTCAGCAGTCGGTCGCTCTCTCCTCTGCGGAGAGCGAGCTGTATGCTTTAGTCGAAGGTGCCAAAGAGGCTTTGGGAACATTCCAGCCGTTCTTGGAAGCAGTCCGAACACCTCTTTGAGAGTGTCGGACCGGTCGACCAAAAACAGATTGTGCGAGAGCGAAGGAATTTAGGGGAAGACATCTCCAGCAAATCTGAACAGGGTTTTTCAAGCTAGGCAGTGTTGAGAGGTGTTGGTGACGGTTCGGATTTTGTGCTTCTTGCTTAACTCCAACTCCCTCGTGTCGGATTTAAGAGGCAGTCCGAACACCACTTTTTTTGCTGTCCCGAAAACCGGTGGACCAAAAGCAAATGCAATGCAGGAATTCGTCTCTCTGGATACGGCATGTCCGGAGCGCGACTCCCTCGCCTAACAACGCCAGGGGCATCATCTCCAGTCAAGTCGTAAAACGATGCGCAAACGAGGCCCAATGAAAGCTTTGGCCCCAAGCCTTGTGAAGTTAGCAATGCAAAGGCGAGCTTCCCTGCAGCACAAGGAAAACAATCTCCACAACGGAACATCCGTAAGAAGCAGCAATCGGCCTCCCACGGAATCCGAGCTCAGAAACAAGACGAAAATCGGTAGCGGCCTGTCCAGCAACATCTCTGCCCTGAAAGGCGTCACACGACACAAACCGAGGCAGATGAAAAGTCTAGGGAGCAAACACAAGATGAAAGCTCCCGCCTTCTCTCTGCAGAGAAGACCAGAAGTCTCGAAAGAAGACTCTGAGAAGGAAGCGCTATCCATCTGCACTGGATCCAGCGCGGAGCCCACGACAAGCCCAGCAATAGCACTTCGAGTTTTCTAGCACTTAAGAAAAATTTTCCGGTAGTAGCAAACCAGCCACGTCCCCCTTTAAGCCAAAATGGCATCTAGGCAGAGCATTTGGAAAGACAATACACCGAGTGCTGAAGAGACAGCAACAACCGTTGTCGAGGCAGTTACCTCCCAGAGACACTTAAGCTGCAGTTTCGGCCAGAGATGAACCTTGCACCGTATCTTGCCCTTTCCCTCACAGCCGTAAAGTTGTGGGCTGTGGCGAGTCCTGATGAAAATCTTAACTTTGGGTCTCTTGTGGCTTACCACTGTACAGTCTTCTTTGAGAGAAGGAGAGAGAGCCCTTCTAGTGAAAGCACCCAGCTCAAGCTGTACACTTTAGCTGTGTAAAAACACTGTGTTCCTACTTGGCAGTAATGTCAAATCGCCTTTGAAACTAAAGATGACTTTCTAAGTGGAACGAAGAGTTAAAAGGCTTGAAGGAGGGCTTGAAGGCGACGGAAAGAAAATGAAAGCAAACTAAAATGAAAAAAATAACTCAAACAAACCGCACTTGCTCTTCATCGAAAATCTGGAACACAGCTCCAATTGTGCCGCAGGCAACAAATCAAAAGCCAATTAGGAACAGAAAAATGGCAAGACTTTTTTTTGTGACTCTTTTCAAGTCCAGGTGATTCTTCTTTGCACGGAACAAATATTTTTGGGTTTGTATGCAGTTCGTAGTTGCTTCTTTCAATGAAATCTGTCTGTCATAGTTTCGCAGTTTTGTGGATGGGAAGCCTTCAAGAAAGCCTCAACTCAAGGATTGCAAACTCAAATAAGACGCAATTACCAAACAAAACAAAAAGACGCCACACGAAATCGACTTGCGAGGCTTCTCACACGAAGCCGCTGTATGGAAGGTTCTGCGACGGAAAGAAAACGAGAGCAAACTAAAATGAGAAAAGAACAAACTCAAACAAAAC